GTGCGCGGTGCGGGATCGCGCGACGAGCGACAGAGCTCTGCTGCTGGCGGTCAGCTCAATGCTAAGCAGCTCAACGGCCACATCTCGCATGCCAACGGCGCCGACGAGCTGCTCAGGCTCTTTGCTGCCCACAGCGCGAGCTTGAACCACATCCACGCTGCGAACCTGTGGAACAAACTGGGCAAGCAGCGCATCGAGCGGCGGCACGAGGGGCGGCTTGAGCAGCTGGTGCAGCGCACGCTCGACCTGGTTTCTTCGTGCCGAGCACGCGAGCTGGCCAACGTGTCTCACGGCGTTGCAAAATGTGGCCTGCAGGCGAGGGTGGTGCACCCGTTGTTCGTAGCGGTGGATGGCCAACACGGTGTGGGCGTATGCGACGGCGGGCGTGGCTGCGGACGCGCTCTACGAGGCGGTGGCGGAGGCGGCGGTGCGCGGCGGGCTGGCCGGCTTTACGCCTCAGAACCTGTCCAACACGGCGTGGGCGTATGCGAAGGCGGGCGTGGCTGCAGACGCGCTGTACGCGGCGGTGGCGGAGGCGGCGGTGCGCGGCGGGCTGGCCGGCTTTACGCCTCAGGACATGGCCAACACGGTGTGGGCGTATGTGACGGCGGGCGTGGCTGCAGACGCGCTGTACGCGGCGGTGGCGGAGGCGGCGGTGCGTGGCGGGCTGGCTGGCTTCAAGCCTCAGGAACTGGCCAACACGGTGTGGGCGTATGCGACGGCGGGCGTGGCTGCAGACGCGCTGTACGCGGCGGTGGCGGAGGCGGCGGTGCGTGGCGGGCTGGCTGGCTTCAACCCTCAGGACATGGCCAACACGGTGTGGGCGTATGCGACGGCGGGCGTGGCTGCGGACGCGCTCTACGAGGCGGTGGCGGAGGCGGCGGTGCGCGGCGGGCTGGCCGGCTTTACGCCTCAGAACCTGTCCAACACGGCGTGGGCGTATGCGAAGGCGGGCGTGGCTGCAGACGCGCTGTACGCGGCGGTGGCGGAGGCGGCGGTGCGCGGCGGGCTGGCCGGCTTTACGCCTCAGGACATGGCCAACACGGTGTGGGCGTATGTGACGGCGGGCGTGGCTGCAGACGCGCTGTACGCGGCGGTGGCGGAGGCGGCGGTGCGTGGCGGGCTGGCTGGCTTCAAGCCTCAGGAACTGGCCAACACGGTGTGGGCGTATGCGACGGCGGGCGTGGCTGCAGACGCGCTGTACGCGGCGGTGGCGGAGGCGGCGGTGCGCAGCGGGCTGGCTGGCTTCAAGCCTCAGGAACTGGCCAACACGGTGTGGGCGTATGCGACGGCGGGCGTGGCTGCGGACGCGCTCTACGAGGCGGTGGCGGAGGCGGCGGTGCGTGGCGGGCTGGCTGGCTTCAACCCTCAGAGCCTGGCCAACACGGTGTGGGCGTATGCGACGGCGGGCGTGGCTGCAGACGCGCTGTACGCGGCGGTGGCGGAGGCGGCGGTGCGCAGCGGGCTGGCTGGCTTCAAGCCTCAGGAACTGGCCAACACGGTGTGGGCGTATGCGACGGCGGGCGTGGCTGCGGACGCGCTCTACGAGGCGGTGGCGGAGGCGGCGGTGCGCGGCGGGCTGGCCGGC